TTTAAACTCATTTTAGAGCTCTGTAAAATCATTTTAGAGCTCTTTAAACTCATTTTAGAGCTCTGTAAAATCATTTTAGAGCTCTTTAACTCATTTTAGAGCTCTGTAAACTCATTTTAGAGCGTTTTAACTCATTTTAGAGCTCTTTAAACTCATTTTAGAGCGCTGTAAACTCATTTTAGAGCTCTTTAAACTAATTTTATAGCTCTGTAAACTCATTTTAGAGCTCTTTAAACTCATTTTTAGAGCTCTGTAAAATCATTTTAGAGCTCTGTAAAAACCAGATGAGCATATTTAATAAATCTCTCGACGGGAACGAGGCTGGTGCAGATACATGAAGTCAGCCGGTCACACTCGTGGTTCGTGGACATCCTGACTGGTCTGAGGCTGCCGTTCACACCGTGCACTGCAGTTTGGGTTTTTGTTTGCTGTGAGTTCATCATGGGATGACTTGTGCGTGGTTTTATGTGCACGTATTAAATCTTTTAGTTTCTGGGGCTGGCAGTAACTGTGGCAGTTCTACGAGCAGTTTAAGACAACAAGCCTTCCCATTAGTCTTCTTGGACATCAGGACTCTGTAAAGAGCTGCAGCTTTTATTTTGATTATCGTGATGGTGACATCATGCCGCTCAGCTGGGGGAGGATGGAGAACTGATTTTCATGTGATTTGAAAATTATTTGCAGCTTCCTGTTCTTGACTACTGAAGGATTTCTGAACACGATGACAATAATGTGCAATCATTTATGGTTACGTGCAGTAAAAACTGAGTGTGCACGTTTATTTCACAGGTGGTCAAAAATGAACAAAAACGTGCCGACAGGAGAGGATTCTGGGAAGTTTGAGGAGATTCTACATCTTCTGGTGGATCAAACCGAAGCTACGCCTGTGAGCTCCGTCCAACAGCCAACACCCGCCCCCCTCCCTTACAGGTTCGTGACCAACCAAAGCTTCTCTTCCTGAACCTTCCCCTGCCCTGGACCCGCTCCAGGAGCTGAGCGGGGCAGAGGTTCCTGTCCTGGAGCGCTGCACGTTGTATAATTGATGTTTGTTTGGGTGCAGAGCCTCCTTCCTGCTGGAGCTGGCTCTGCTGGCCTTGCAGGGAAAGCATCATAAAGTAGCCGCCGGCTGTCTGAAGGAGCTGAAGGCACGTGGAGAAGCTGTGAGTGTCGAAAACATTGCCGACCGAACTGTTTCCTGTTTAGAGTCCCGTCTTTACGTCGTTGGACTGGAGCTACTTCAGCAGACTTTTTTCATTTACCTTTATTTATGCAGGTAGTCTCAATGAGCCACGAGAACTCATGTTCAAGAGAGACCTGCTTAGGAGCAGATGGTGGCCTTGCTCATGGGCCCAGAGTGGGACGAATGGGGATGGGCGTAGGTGTGGGTGCTTCACCTACCCCACCCACATTTTTGATGTTGTTGGTACCGGGGCTTGAACCGGCGATCTTCCGATCACAGGCCCAGTTTCTGTAACTTCTGCGCCACCACTCCACTTTCAGCTATGCAGCAAAACGTTCGGCTCGTTCAGGACCTTACAGCTATGACTGTTGGTTTTATAATTTATTTATGTTTTGAAACATTTCCAGAAGAACTCTCCAGATTGTGGAAAATCTTTCAGTGTATTTGTTTCAGTCTTGAGTTTTAACTTCTGGTTTTTATGCAGATTTCAGGTTTCATTTTCTGTTTTGCTGATTTTAGTTTTATTTTCATTTGAATAATTTAGTTTCGGCTTCTCTAACTTCAGCAGTGGATCTGCTCTCACGTTCACGCTGCGTATTCCTCCTGTTTACAGAGAAATGCTCATTTATTCTTAACCTTCTCGTCTTCTGAGTCACGCTCTGAACACAAAGCAGCTGATGGAACACACTAAATGTTTTGATCAGAGCTTCTTGTGTTGAAGGCTGCTCGTTTCTCTGAACATTAAACGTTAACATATGAAAAGTGTGTCGTCCTGAGCTCTGAACACAAACTCTCCTGTTATTTTAGACTCTTGACCATCGTCTAATCATGGAATGTGTCAGCTGTGAGATTAACTTTCTGAAGGAGGAGGCCAACATGGACATCTACTGCAGAGCCAGCGTGGAGGTACCAAACCATCTCTGCTCTTAACCACACTTTTATTACGAGGATGCAAACAACACGTTGTCTTAATGACCTGTTAATGACCTGTTAATGACATGTTAATGACATGCAAATTATATGTTAATGGACTGTTAATTACCTGTTAATGACACGTTAATGTCATGTTTAATGACTTGTTTAATTACTAGTTTAATGACCTGTAAATTACATGTTAATTACATTTTAATGACCTGTTTAACGAGCAGTTAATGACATGTTAATGTACTGTTAATTACATGTTAATGACCTGTTAATGTCATGTTTAATAACTTGTTTAATGACATGTTAGTCATGTTAATGATATGTTAATGACCTGTTAGTGACACGTTAATGATATGTTAATGACCTGACATGTAATTTATTTGTTAATGTCATGTTAATGTCATGTTTAATGACTTGTTTAATGACCTGTTAATGTCATGTTTAATAACTTGTTTAATGACATGTTAGTCATGTTAATTATATGTTAATGACCTGTTAGTGACACGTTAATGATATGTTAATGACCTGACATGTAATTTATATGTTAATGTCATGTTAATGACATGTTAATGTCATGTTTAAAACTGATCCAGCACGCATCGATGATCTGGTCTCAGTCCAAACGGTTTGTTGTCTCTCAGGCCCGCCTGAAGGAGATCGACAAGCTGGACCAGTGGTTGCAGACTGCAGCGAGGGAGGGGGCCCTGCAGGCTCTGCAGGTGCTCTCTGCCACGCAGTGGAGGTTCTGCCTGCCCCTCTTACAACAGAACCTCAGGAACCGGATCAAGACTCCTCTGCTCAGGATGGCCCAAGTCCTGGAAGACACACAAAGGTTTCCACCCTCCTACAGCTCACTGAAATGTCATCATCAAAGCTCAGACTTGAAGATTTAGGATGATCTGACTGAGGGGCTTCACACCTGGACAGTTAAATCCAAACCCAGAACGTTCAGGTTCGATGTCCGTTAGCCCCGCTGCATGCAGAAACTCACAGAGAGCTGTTTAATACGACCCAAGACTAAAAATAATACAGAGACGGCCGAAACCAGCAATGGGAGCAGCTTCCTCATTGGCTGGTCCAGTAATAGGTTTAAGCCCCGCCCCCATCATGTAAATGAGCAGACCTCGATTAAAAACTGTGATTATGATGTGAGATAACGCTGTTGTCCTCTGATTGACAGCACGTCGTTGTTTTCAGTGACCACAGAACTGACCAGAACAAACAAGAAACCAAAGAGAACCCGTCCAGAAAAGGTTCTGTTGGGTTTGTGTCAATGTTTGTGCCGTGTTCATCAGTTGTACCTGGAGTCACGTTTTAGTCCGATGACTTTGGATCATCGTCTTTGGCTCATATTTCCTTCATTGTCTGCTTTGTCTTTGTCTATTCTTTGTGTTTTAACCTTTGTTAGGCTGTGGCTTCACAGTTGATGATGTTCTGCTCCTCCCTCAGTACCAGAAAACCCCAAACACCAAAAGGACATCAGGTCGCGCGTCTGGACCAGGAGGCGTGTGCTCTGACCTTTGGCTGCAGTAGACAAACATCCACCAGAGCTTTAAACAATGTCCCCACAGACATTAACTGGACGGGGCTGAAGCGGTTTGGAGTTCTCCGGGTCAGGTTCTCCGAGCAGAACCATCAATTAGAGTTTAAACGGGTCACGGGAAGTAGAACTTTCCATGACTGAACTCCCTTTTTCACATCTTTAACTCTTCTTAAACAATTACAGGTTAAAGTGGAGAATTTAACTAATTTTACCACAAAATATTCACCGTAGTTTAATGATTCTGACCAGGAGGAGTCGGTCCGTGGACTGGTTCTTCTTTGTTGAAGGAGGACAGTCCGTGGACCGGACTCTACCTGGATTATTGAGCAGCATCAGGGCGTTAGTTTGATGATGTCACACAAATTTAAAACCGTCTAAACTTTAGACTTGTGCAGTTTGTTCATAAAGTCCTTGTCGTGTTGGCAGGCTCTTACAGTAGGACGTTAAAGGAGAACTTTGTTGTACCACCAGCGTTTGACACAAGTGCAGCAGCAGCTCACGCCGCCTCGTTGCGTCTCTTGCAGTGTGTTGCTGCAGCAGCGCTGTCACGTCCACTCAGAGCTGGCACTAGCTGAAGACGAGGACGGGAACCTCCAGGCGTCTTTGACCCACCTTCAGAAAGCTGTGTCCCTGGACCACGGGACGCACGGTGAACGCCTGTCTTCGTCTGTCCGGCTCCTGCAGCTCAGGAGGAACCTGCACCAAAGCCCTCCCCGGCCCGAGGACAGAGCCGCTCTGCTTCTGCAGCAGGTTCTCTGCTCATTACTTTTAAATAACTGATTGTTCAAGTGTAAGACGTTAACTTCAAATAGATTTCTGCTGCGGTGGAGAACAGACGCCCGGAGGAAAAGCAGCTGACTCCTAATTAATTCTGACGTTCGACCCGGTTGTCTTTCTCAGGCCAGAGACTTACCGCCCTGGAGCGAGGCAGACACTCGAGCTGTCCTGGTGTCTGTTGGTCTCCTTTTGGCCCCGGAGGATTTCCAGATGGTTCTGGATGCTGACAACACCTCTGAAAGTAGATTGCTCTTCCTTCCTTTCCCTTTTGCTTTATTTCTCATCATGTAATGTGCTTGTAGGGCTCCTCCAGGTAAACATGATGTTTACAGCAGATCTGGCACCCTGCTGGTCTGTGTGTTGTCTGTTAGCAAAATTTCTCATGAATCACTGAATCTCAGAACGTAGTTATTGGATGAACATCTACGACTGAAGACCTTCTGGAGTCAGCCTGTTTCAAGATGGCCACCAAAGCCATTTGGCCTTAGCAAACACAGAAACTCAGTCGGTTTTAGAGATATTGAGTTAATGTTTGTATGGTAGTAGCTGAGAGTCATCCCCAACGCATACTGTGAACGGTGGCGTGCAGCGACGCAGCCTCTCGTGTCCCACGCTGACGTGCCAGCTGAGCTTCGTTTTAATGTGACTGGAAGGCAGCGCGCTGCTCCACTTACATCATGTGATGCAGTGGAAGCTGATTCTGATGCAGGCTGCTGTATGTTTGAGACGTTCTGGTGGACAGAAAGCCTGTCAGTTGTTCCTGATGAAGCCCCAGACACTGATGGACTGGATCAGGGAGCAGAAGGGCCCAGGTTCTGGGGGAGCCTTTGATCTCTGAGTCTTTCCTGGCTCCCTGCTCCTCAGCATCTCATGAACAGTACGCCGTCCTGATGACCTGGAGCAGAACTTGACTTTGACGCCAGTCAGAGTCAGAGGACCTTTTCCTCAGGCAGCAGTTACAGCTGTTTTGTTTTATGGATGAACCTCCGGGATAAAAACTCCTAGTCTTTGTGTTCAGAGACAGCACATGACGCGACCCTTCAGAGTAGAAGCTCATTATTAGAGCATGGAGTTAAATGAAGCGCTCTGTGAAGGAATGTGGATCACCCGCTGCTGTGCCTTCTCAAGTTACCAAATATCTCAGTCAATGGAGGGCAGTGGACTAAAGCCTCCAGTATACTCGCGCAGACCTTTTTCTGCACGGACTTGACGTGCACTGTCCGCAGAGGGTTGAGACTTGATGATCGAGCGTCCACCCTGAGCGGCTGCAGAGCAGCTCCGCAGACTAGGGGCGTTTACCTTCGGGACAAATGGAGTTCGTCGATTGGTCATTTGCTGACACGCCCACAGGATTGATTGACAGGTCACAAAAACAAAAGAAAAGGCCATTAAACCAGATCAGGGATGAAGAAGGTGAATTTAATACATTGGTGTCACATACAAAACAGTCCGTCGCCGGGCAGCTTATTGTGCGACACCGAGTACGCGTACGCAATCGTAAAAATTGATCTTTGCACGGACATGCCCTGTGGGCGTTCGCTTCGACTCTAATCCGGTACGGGCAGACCTCCACGGACTGAGGTACGCCCGAGTTTACTGGAGCCTTAATTCACTTACTTTGGTAGCACAATGTCAAGGACTGCTGTCTCCAGAAGAATGTATGGATCAGAAGAGGTTTCACCCAAGAGGCCAAGCTCAAGGTCTGCAGGGCCACAGTTCTCAACATCCTCTTGTAAGGTTGTGAATCATGGTCTACCAACACCATGCAAGGAGGCTGACCCACTTCTACACCACCTGCCTCAGAAAACTCCTTGGTATCAAAAGACTAGATCCCAGACACTGAGGTCCAGACGTGTTCACCTACCCAGTACCTTCACCGTCCCTGTCAGTCACAACTTGGATGGGCAGAGCAGGTAGCTCATAAACCAGACCATCGGCTCCCAAAGAGACTGGCTGATGGTGAACTACAACAAGGGAAACACTCCCGAGGAGACACGCTGAAAGCCTCTATGAAGGCCTTCAGGACCTGCACAGATACCTGGAAGCAGACAGTGCAGGGGAGAGGGAAGTGGCAAACATCTGTTCACATCTGTTCACAAGGGTTCAAAAAGTATGAAGCAAACAGGACAGCTGCAGCTGAGCAGCACAAACCAACTTCTCTGCCCAGAATATTACACAGAACATTCTGGAGATAGACTGTCCTGACCAGCCGTCTTTACCCGCAGAGTCCAACCCTCGGACGACTAGTTGGTCTTCGTTGTTGGTTCTGGTCCTGTAAAACTGAATGGGTAGTGGTGGTGCAGAGGTTGGATAAGGTGGGCCTGTGATTGGAAAGTCAATTGTTCAACTCCCTGGATGGACAACATCAAAATGTGTGTGTGAAAGGTGAAACACCCACACCTGCTTCCACCCTCATTTGCCCCAACCTGGGCCCTTGAGCAAGGCACTTAACCCCCACCATCTGCTCCCCCAAGCACCCTAGATGGCAGCTCTCTGCTCTACACAGAGGGCTGTGGTAGCTCGTGGTCTGTGGTTGTGTCATGAAGGACATCCGGCATAAAACCAATCACCAAGTCCTCGTGTGAGTTAGTTCATTGTGGTGATTCCTGAAGAAGGAGCAGCCGAAAGAATAATATCTGCAAACGTGACTGTGTTAGAGTCCTTTTTGCAAGGTGCAAGGAGAATAACCTTCACATCAATGTGAAGAAGATGAAAGAGATGGTTGTGGACTTCACACAGAACAAACACACCTACTCCCCCAAACACAGGAGAATCTGTGGTGGACGTGGTCTCCAGCTACAAGAACTTGGGTGTGCACCTGAACAACAACCTCAGCTGGAGCAACAACACCACCATCACAGACATAAAATCTCAAAACGCTGTACAATAACAATCAACGCTAAAATATACAAAGAATAAAACGAGCATAAGAACTACAAGAAGCAGAATAAAATCATGAGATCAAAGCCTGAGAGACTAAAAGGGTTTTCAGTTGATTTTTACAAACCTCCACAGAGTCAGCAGAACGAAGCTGCAGGTCAAACTGGTCCACAGTCTGGAGGCCACTGGCTGAAAGGCCCCGTCTCCACAGTCTGGAGGCCACTGGCTGAAAGGCCCCGTCTCCACAGTCTGGAGGCCACTGGCTGAAAGGCCCCGTCTCCACAGTCTGGAGGCCACTGGCTGAAAGTCCCCGTCTCCACAGCCTGGGGGCCACTGGCTGAAAGG